TCGCCGCGTGCCCGCCCGCCCCGCAGCCATGCCCGCCGGCGTGCCTTGGCCCACCTACCTGAAGGCGCTGACGGCCAGCATGCTCGCCATGTTCGCCGGCGCCGAGGTCGTGCACAGGTACTACAGGCCTGACCTTGTAAGTGCTGGGCCGGTTCCGGCGCGTGGTTGCGTTGCGGAGCCTGGCGGCGCGTTTGCGGGATGCTGCAGAAAGGCCTCGCTGGTCTGGCTGCAAAAAACGATCAGCTTCTGAAGGAGGAGCGACCGGGTAGCGCGGGCTGCTCTTGGGAGATGCCTTCAAACTGGCACCGCGGTACCGAAAATAGAAAAGTTCCGCAGACTTCTTCAGGAGGGGTTACTGCTGCGGGAAGCTGGGTGTTTGAAAGGAGCATGCAAAATGGGCGAGAAGGGGCAATATTAGATTTAAGCAGACTTTTATTCCCTCGGTAATGGAAATGAAGATGACTGAGAATTTACATTAAAAACTGACAGAGAGTAGAGGCTATCAGAGTTACAGTCACAAGGGAGCCAACTCAAAATGAGACTGTCCACCGGGCATACTAATGGCTGATTTGGTCTCTTGGAGGTCTGATTTGTAGGCTTTATCTTGGCCTCATGCTCTTGTGCACTTTTTGGGTTTTGAAAACACTGTGCTATATTGAAATGAGAAGCTGGTCCAAGCAGTCAGGGGTCAGGTTAGGAAAGCTAAGCCCAGATGATAGAATTAAATCTGGCCAGGGACATCAAGGGTAACAAGAAAACTACAGGTCTGTCTGTGGTGAAAGGAAGGCTAGGGAATATGTGGGCCTTCTCCGGAAGGAAACGGGAGACCTAGTCACAAGGGATATGGAGAAGGCTGAGGTGCTCAATGACTTCTTTGCCTCAGTCTTCGCCAGCAAGGGCTCCAGCCCCACTGCCCAAGCTGCAGAAGGAAGATCTGCCTACTGTAAATGAAGATCAGGTTTGAGACCATCTAAAGAACGTGAAGATGTACAGGGCAGTGGGACCTGACAACACCCATCTCCAGGTCTTGTGGGAAGTGTCAGATGAAATTGCTAAGATGCTTTCCATCAGTTTGAAAAGTTGTGGCAGTCTGGTGAAGTGGCCACTGACTGGAAAAGGGGAAACATAAGCCCCACCTTCAGAAGCAAAAACAGGAAGACCTGAGCAACCACAGGCCAGTCAGTCTCACCTCTGTGCCCAGCAACATCATGGAGCAGATCCTCCCGAAGGCTCTGTGAAGGCACATGCAAAATTAGGAGGCGATTGGTGGCAACTAGCCTGCCTTCACCAAGGGCAAATTGTGCCTGATGAATTTGGTGGTCTTTTATGATAGCTGCAGTGTCGGTGGATAATGGAAGAGCAACTGATGTCACTTACCTGGGTTTGTGCAAAGCAGATGACACTGTCCCACATGACATCCTTGTTTCTAAATTGCAGAGACATGGATTTGGTTGAAGGACCACTTGGTGGATAAGGAATTTTCTGGATGGACACACTTAAAGAGTTGTGGTCAATGGCTTAATGTCCAAATGGAGACCCGTGACGAGCGGTGTTCCTCAGGGATCAGTGCTGGGACTGGTGCTGTTTAACATTGTTGGTGACATGAACAGTGGAATTGAGTGTACCCTCAGCAAGTTTATGGATGACACCATGGAAAAGGGAGGTGATTGTCCCCTGCTGTTCTGCTCTTGTGAGATCCCCACCTGGAGTACTACTTCCAGCTCTGGAGCCCCCAACATAAGGAGATAGACCTGATGGACTGGGTCCACAGGAGGGCCACGAAGATGATCAGAGGGCTGGAGCACCTCTCCTACAAAGACAGGCTGAGAGAACTTGGTTTGTGCAGCCTGAAAAAGGCGCCAGGGAGACCTTATTGTGGCCCTCCAGTATCTGAAGGGGGCCTACAAGAAAGCTGGGGAAGGGCTTGTCACAGGGCTTGTAGTGATAGACGAGGGGTAGTGGCCTCAAACTGGAAGACAGATTTAGATTAGCCATAAGGAAGAGGATCTTCAGTGTGAGGGTGATGAGACATTGGCACAGGTTGCACAGGGAAGCTGTGAATGCTCCATCATTGGAGATGGTCAAGACCAGGGTGGATGGGGCCTTGTCCATCCTAGTCCAGTGTGAGGTTTCTCTGCCCTTAGCAGCAGGGTTAGAACTAGATCGTTTTTTGTCTCTTTCAACCCAAACCATTCTATGATTCTTAAATGGCACAGAAGTATTGTTCCTATTAACAAAGTACCTGTTCTTCCTTTCTCCTTTTTTTCAACCTGTATTTTGCTATTTTTACAGAAAGTAAATAGGATAACCTTAAAGACGTTTTGCAAGCAAGAATTGTATTCAGCTCAAAAAAGAGGGTGGTATAACACTTCAGCTGCAGTGCTGTCTCTTACGGAGTTAGGCTGACTTACTGGTCTCTTGTGCTATGACACTGACACCCTTCTGTTTTTAACAGAGCATACCTGAAATCCCTCCTAAGCCTGGAGAACTGAAAACAGAACTCTTGGGTCTAAAAGCAAGATCAAGCCAAGTTCAGACTTCGGAGCAGTGACCAGAATTTACTTCTTACATTGTGAAAACTGGAACTGACAAAACAATCTGTTCAACTGCAGAAAACCCTGCGTGAAATAACTAAACTCCCTTAAAATAGATTGCTTCCTTTAAGCAGTTATAGGCAGCATTAAAAATAAATGAATACTATTTTCAAGTCCAATCTTCTGTGCAAAGATGCTCATAATTTGATTGCAGTGGAGTATCATTCAGAATAAAGATGTAAACTCACATTAGTGAGTGATGGAATTTGAAGCTTTTCATCCGATTAACAAGCGTAGGAAATTTAGCATATTGACAAGTCACGCTTTTGTAGCTACTCCTTGGCCTTACAAAGCTTGTTTGACCTCATTTAGCCCTTGGCATGTCCCCTCTTTTTACACTGTAATTCTGACTGGACCCAACGCAGAGCCTGGTAGAGCAATCGAGGGCAGGTCCAAGGGAGGTTCTTCACCACAGCACTTCCTGTGCTGGCCCCTTCCCCCGCTGGCTGCCGGCTCTGGCAGGGGATTCCTACCGACAGGGAATCTACAGGGAAGGCTGGAGAGGATCTTACAACTTGATCCATTAAACAGGGCAAGTATGTGCAGATTACACTGAAATTATGGGCATTTTTACTCCATTTGGGCATCTTATTTACATCTAGTTTTGATAGCTGTAAATACAGAAAACAGAAGTAGCAAATGCAGGTTTACTTTTCAGTCCTATTATAGGAACTGCCATATAACTGTTGCACCAGGAACATTGACACAAACTCAACATCCTACAAAGCTGGTAGGAAAACCCATTTTTAAATGGCACACAGTTTTGCTTGTGAAGGTTGGCGATTGCTTTCCCTTAAGTAGGGTACCCAGACAACACACAGGCTTCAACCTCAGTTCTCAGGTGTAACTTGGCAGAAAAACGCAAGGAAACAAAATAGGTTCCCCAGTCATACTGGCCAAGTACCTGGACATCTTTTAATAGACAGATCCAGAAATGATCACTGAAGTGCTGCTTTTAAGTGTTTCAGCTGTGAAGCTGTTACTGGAAGTGGTTTTCCTAAGCTGAAAGGTGTACAGTTTGTGTGCATTTGTCTCTGCTCCCAGTTCTGTAAATAGTGGCTGATCTAGGACAGCAGCTGCTTTTAAGTGCCCCTGTGATCAACTGCCCATATCTCAGTGATAGCAGCATACAAGAGGCCTCAAGTAAGATCTTGGATGTTAAGCCCAAATTCAAACCATCAGTGAGAACATCTTAGTTCAGTTCTGGTAAAACTACTTTTTCCTCTGTTGTGCTTAAGAAAAAAGCTGAGACTGACAACCTTCCACCTCAACACAAGATCAAGATGGGGCAGTTCAGCAGTATTTTGTTCCTGTTCTAACTATAGCAGGAACAGCAAGTTTCCAGTTACGTCTTTGAAGAGCTGGGACTCACCAACCCATACCCCGCTATTCACACTTTGTGGGAGTATTACCCCCATCATTGTAGGGTTGTCTTCTGACACACAAGATGCATTTCTTCCTATTTTCTAAAGGCTTTTCTGATCTAAACGTTGCACAGAGGGAGGTTACTACCTTTGCCTTGGATTTCTAAATGGATCCTGCTAATAGAAGCTGAGCAACAGGGAGCATCTGTTCCACTCCACACTCTTCTATGCTGCAGGAATTGCTCTCATTAGCACCCATCCAGGAACAGTAAACCTGACAATACACCACATTTTAACACCCCCAGAACTGGTGCAACAGCTGCCCTGGAAGAAATGGCCCCAATATGACTGAGAGACAACACTTCCAGTATTGACACCATTTTGCTTCACAGGGCTAACAAAGAAAAAAAATGTAAGCTTAGAGCTGCATTTTGTGCTTATTAATAGCAAACACTTGTCACTCCAGGGCAGAGAAAGCAGCTGGACCGCAGCTCTGTTGCAAATGACACCCTTAGCTGAGGAAGATGAAAAAGCACAAAGCATGACTCTTAACGGTGCTCTTTATTATTTCTGAAATTGAATTGGACTGTTTTTAGGATGAACTACCTTGGCATAGAGAACCTCAGCTATGTAACAGAACAAAGGTTGCTTAATTCTACAAGCAATACCAGATTAAGTACAATGCTGTACCAAGCAACCAACCCTATGCTTCCAATACTCTTCCATTTGTTATGTGCGGAAGCACTCTTCACCATCACACCGCAGGCCTGAGCCACATTTGCCACTCAGGCTGGTCAAGTAAGAGACTTAACAGAGTGCCTATTGATGCTATATTCCAACGGGTATCACTACAAGTGGTATTTAAAAAATAAAGTACAAAATCCAAACCTCAGCAGCATTCAGTTGCTGTAGAGCACAGAAGCTGCATTGCCAAGGAGGACTGCCTCAGGGAGGAAAGGTAACTGAGAAGGGCTGATGTGAAAGCTGGTACTGCTAGTCTCTGAACTATGCCCTAGGGCCAGACCACTTTGGCATGCTCTAACAAAAGGCTCCTACCATGCGTCCAAGATACAACTACAGCGAGCAAAAACCAAAACAAACCCCAAACTCCCTCAAAAACAACAAAACTAAGCTCCCACTCCATGAAGTCTTGAACAGCATACTGCAGTAAAGCCAACAGCTCTGCATGAGCCCTAACACAGTAACTACACCGATAGGTGGCATTTGTATTTAGTGCATGGAAACAGCATTAGGGCCACATAGAATCAGCCTAGTAAATTGAAAGCAAGTTCTCGTCAGTGTTTAGTGCCCTCATGTAAATAGTAAGTTTATTTTGTTTCAGAGTGTAGAAGCTCAAACTTCACATGAGCTCTGTTTAAAAAGAATGTGGTTCTTAAGTAGAACCACTCTCTGGAAGTACTACTCCTATATACTTCCACACAGGAAAGCAAATCCAAAACTTCTGAAAATCTTCAGTGTGAACACTTTCCACTAACCCTTGTGAGGACATTTCACAGTACAGGCACTAGTGAGAACATGTAGTGCTTTAACCAAGCACCACATAAAGCTAATATAATGAGGGGAAATTCATGCCTCCAGTTCAACCTGTCCACATGGCAAGTTCATGTCAACAGGATTTAGCTCAATTATCTACAGTGCTTTGCCATACTAAAGAGACAGAACAGGAGTGAAAAGTTTAGGATCATCATCAAGGAGCAACTGTAAGAGCCAAGTTTCCATCCTTAAAAACAAGACACCCCCCACCCCCAAAAACCAAACTGTATAAAGCAGGACTGATGTAGCTACACAAGTCAAAGGCAGGGTTCCCAAATACTGTGGAGGATGGTACAAGCTCACAGGTAGTGAGCCACTTCCAGTTGTTCACATTTAGTAAAAGCTACAGATGTCTATTCTGTACACAGGAGTCAAGTCAGATGTAGTCCCGTGCAAGCTGTCACAACTTCAGTTCCGATGCCATTTTTAACTGACCTATCTCATCTTTCTCAAGACATCAGTAGATACATAACTTCTTGAATATTTATTTCAACTAGCAAGATCCATACACCTGGTATCAGTCATGTACCTCAGCTCAAGAGGGCAGGAGGCTGGTTAACACAAAACCCAACACCACATGGGCACATGCTACCCAGCTGAATGAGGCTGTGCCAGTGAGGAGAGGCACAAGAACTGCAAACTGCCCATTATACAAAGGATCTGAACACTCAGGATGATCCCTCTGTTTCTTTGTGCTATCCCACAAAATGAGCTTGTTGTGTATTCATTTAGAGTTAGTGGTGTTTGGGAACATTTTATACATGACAAGATTTTACACCAAGTCAGTTAAATAATACAAATTTACATTCATGAGGAATGTTTTTAGAAAAATGAACTTAAAACAAAAATCCTCTTACCCTTAAACCCCATACCACCCCTCAACATTTTACAGTTAAAAAAAAAAAAACCAAAACAATCTCATTCACATTCCCTCCTAACCCCCCAGTGGAGGACGGTAAGTTGAGTGCAGCTTACAGTTCATCTTTCACATCTGTGGATTCCTGTGAAGACAGAGAGAAAAATCAATCTTGCTTTTTGGAAGTGGAAAGGGTTACAAGAGCTCTCAAAAGAACTGCTGATGCTTTCTAAAGCACCAAGTAATGCATCTTGCTAATGATAAAGAGGTATTAAAGTCAAACTTCTGTTCCAATGATGCCATATTAAGCTTTGCTATCAAGAATAAAATTTTTTAGGTTGCTCAAATGTTAGCAGTAGCTCTAGCATACCATTTAATATTTTACACTTTCTAAGCCATCTTTCAGGCACAGTAATAGATTGCAGAGCTAGGGAGCACATCTACTTTCCACTCAGGAGTCAGAAAACCTTAACCTGCAAGTGTGCAAACCCACCACACAGAACATGACTTTACTGCTTTGTACTACATTGTTGTTGCTGCAGCTTATACTGCAGTGCAAACACAATAGTAATGGCATCAGAATTAAGGAGCTATAGTACAAGAAGCATCGTTACTTGGATTTATTCTTAGGTAATCTGATGTACTTGCCTGCTGTTTAACATCTGTAAAGCTAAGTATCTGTGCTAGTCACAAGATGTCATCTTGAAGGGCAATTTCAAAAGCAACCTGAGAAAGCAGGTCCAGTTGGGACATAACTTCAGTATTTAATGTTATCAAAGCAGCTGTGGTATTAGAAGAGTTCAGCACGTTAACCAAGACATCATTAAAACTGCACACTAGCCAAGTAAAGGCTAGCTTCACACAGCACTTAACTGCTCACAGGCCACGCTGCTGCCTGCCTGTGTCATGAGCTTTTGAAACTGAACTCCTGCCAATTTGCTACGTTACTGCCCACAAGCTGTGGAAATGTGATAGATAATAAAGTTCACTGTAGAGGATTTGCTGCCATTTTCTTGCCACAGGGCACTCTTAAGATCTCTGAAACCTGATTTAGCTCTAACTTTGAACTTTTTCTTCTTACAATGTAGTTTGATGAAGAATGAAGCATCATTTATACTGCAGGCTTTTTCCCTCCAAGAAAAGCTTGGAAAACTTCACACTAAGAACTAGTGTCATGAATGCCAAAAGGAAACAAGTTTGTTGCCAGAAGTATCACAGACAAAACTGCACAGAAATATTTTTAAATAGAGTCAAACTTGAGACCTTACCTTCTGTGTTTCACTGTCTTCAGCATCAGCATCCACCTCCTCTTCATCTTGCTCCTCTGCCTCCTCAGCTGCCTCTTCAGGCTCTTCAGGTTCCTCTTCCACCTGTAGGAAGGTCACAAGCAATTTGCTTCAGGTATTTACTAGTTGTGGACTAGCTAAATACAGACCATGGAAGCATTTGCTATCAGTTCCTAATATTTCCCCCAACCTACGTGAAGGAGACAGCAAGTTCTGTTTAATGTTGATACACCATGCCTTCTCCAGCAAGATACCCAGCAGAAGTTCTTGCACACCATTTTGAACACTTGTATTAGTTACATCCTTTTAGGAATTTCTCCATTTAAAGCAACAGGTACATCTGCCTGCAGCCCCTAGTTTACTCCCACAGTACAACCACTTAGTTAAGGACAGGACAGTCCTTGAAGCGTAACAGAAGATAATCCCAAGCAACTAGGAAGAAAAGTAGAAGGAAAGACATAAGTATGAAGTGCAGGGTTACATTAGTTTCTTATCCAGATCCTTGAAGTGGGCCACCAAAAGCCCAGTTAAGTGTGGGAAGCTGGATATATTTCATTTTATGCAAGTCTATCAAGTATCTGCTTTTTAATATGTAGCAGTGGTGTAAGTCAATTATCAGCCCCAAGTTGAAAGCAAACTAACCTTTGCATCCAGGTCAATGTTTAAACTTAAACGAAGCATCCTTTCTATTCTGTCTCCATATTCCTTGGTGTCTGGTAACATATATCCTGACCTCAAAGTTGCAGTTTCAAACAACACGACTGCAAGATCTGAAACTGTTTTGTCATCTTCGTTTTCCTAATGTGGAAGAGCATTAAGACAAACAGAACTGTTAATCAGCTTATATGCAGCCAAGCAGTCAGTATTTCAGAGCTGTTACTTGTTTACCTTGACTCGCCTCAGCATGTCCTTGATCAATGGATGTCTGGGATTAATTTCAAATGTCTTCTTTTGGCTAGCATAATAACTGAAAAGAACAGAAGTTACATCACTAAGTTTTGAAGTACAGGACCCAGCTACATCCTTAAACCCATGAATAGCAATTACAGCCACAGATAACAAGTGTCTTCCTCTGCTGCACTTTAATACTAACTTTACTCTTAGAAGCATTCAAAGACAAATTCATCTTCTCTTGTCACCAAAAGACAGTAGGAAATGCCACCGGTGAGTCTTCACCAGGTGGTTTTACATGCTTTGAAATATCGGTGTAAGAGTATGATGGACACTAACTTGATTAAGTGACCTAAAAGTATGGAGGATCATCTGAACCAGATGGAGGGGAGGCCATCAACCATATTTCACATCTGCTGCTACATAACTGAACGCTTACTTTGTAGATATATCCTTCCCAGTTTGGTAAGCTTGAGCCTTCATTATTCTTTCCATGTTACCAGACCATCCATACTGACTAGCCACAAGAGCACATGGAGACTGGGTTAAACGTTGAGATAGCACAGCTTTTTCAATCTGTAGGAGAAAAAAAGCCTTAGTGTTAGTTCACAGAGCCAATAGCTTATACAGGGAATAAAGTAAAAAAACCACTGACATCTTCTGTTCCTTCAATATTTTTCTGAAGGCTCCAACTCCTAACATGACATCCTAACTCACTATGTTCCTGAAATAAAGGTATTAAACAATTTATTTATCCTTAGAAAGGCAGAGAAGCTACGGTCAAGTCTATGCTCCAAGAATCTCAAAGCTGTGTTGTATAGCAAGCACCCCATTTACAAATAAGCATACCATAACATAGCATCTTACCCTGTCTTTCAGGGCTTTGTCTTTCATCCAGTTTAAGAGTGGTTCAAATTCCTTTTCTAAGGCTTCCCGACTCTCCTTAGACTTTTCACTTTCTTCAAAGCTGACGCCTTCTTTGGCTACATTCTGAAACCTCTTGCCATCAAATGCTGGCAGAGCCTGAATACAGTATTCATCTACAGGTTCAGTCAAATAGATCACTTCATAGCCCTTTTTCAGAAGACGTTCAACAAATGGTGAGGACTCGGCCTACAGGGACAAAACAGATCAGATGCCAGTTTAATTGCATTGGTAGCAGGAGCTACTGAAACGCGTACAACTACTTAGCAAACACTGGCAGAGGGAAAACTGAACTGCAGCAGTAATGTAAGCCTGGAATCTCCACACCTACAGCAAATACAGCTCACAATGTTTGTGGTGCTGCAACTAGAAGCCATAATATTTCCCCCCACTTCCCCCCTTTCTTCCACTCACATACCTCCTTTCTGCTGGCACCTGCCATGAAATAAATTTTGTCTTGCTTTTCTTTCATTCTTTCCACATACTGGTCAAGGCTTGTGAGGTTACTTTCATGATGGGAAGACTGGAAGCGAAGAAGTTTAGCCAGTCGTGTACGATTGGAGTGATCCTCAATAACTCCAAGCTTTACATTAGTACCAAACTCTTTCCAGAATGTGTCATTGTATTTTTCTTCTGCAATTTTCTTGATCATGTCAAGAGTTTTGCGAACAAGTTTCTTCCTGATCACCTAAAAAAGCCACGATACCAAGTTGTAACAATAAGCACTTGGAAGAACCCTCAGTCCAACCCCTGAGGATGGCTTCAAGACACTTGGGTATCCTGGTGCCCAAGGAAACACAGGTAGTCTGAAAACAGTAATGCAGGGATATCCTGTACTTTGATTCCACACTCCTTATATAAAGTAAAATTAATCTAAAATTCTTCTAAATCTTGCTGTTGTGTGTTTACAACGAAAGAATTTAAGATCAATTAGCTTACCTTTAACAATTTATGCTGCTGAAGTGTTTCACGAGATACATTCAAAGGAAGATCATCAGAATCCACCTAATCGAGGAAGAAACACTTAAGTATAGCTAGTAGTATTTGAAGATAAAAATCAAATGAAAGGTAAAACTTAATACTTACAACACCCTTAATGAAGTTCAGATATTTGGGCATCATGTCATGGAAGTCATCAGTGATGAACACTCTCCGAACATACAGCTAAATTACAGAAGGAAACAGCAGCCAGGTTATGATTTTGTTTTTTCCCTTTAAGACATGAAAGCATACCCACATACTTCCTCATCCTACCTTAATGAAATCACTTTTTTTGGATCCATATTCATCAAACAGGCCACGTGGAGCAGAATTAGGAACAAACAAGATAGATTTGAAAGTAACTTCCCCTTCAGCAGTGAAGTGGGTGAAAGTCATAGGGTCATCATGTTCCTGTGAGGAATTATTTCAGTTGACATGGGGAAAATATTGGTGAGTTAATACATTGCCAGTAACCAGTTTGCCAAAGAACTGCACTTATTTGACAATTAAGCATCTAACTATGCTTTCTTAGAACTTATTATGAAAACAAAGGTTTCAGATCCAGCAAAATTACTCATAGAAGTAATCTTCCTCAAGACCTACTGGGGTTTATTGGTCTATTTCTGATGTTTTGTTTTTTAAAAAAAAGGTTAACCACCAATTTACCAATAGCACAGTAACCAATACAGCATCAAGAGCCTCTTAACTGTCCTGTCACAAGTAACACATTATGCTGTATTCACACAAAGACGATGCTGTTATTTTCCTCTTTCTTCCACCATATACAACACAAGCACCACCTTTCCCTGTCAACATTTAAACACGTTGGTAAGCTCCATGTGAGCTGGAACATACTCATTCTCAAAACCTAGACCACCCAACACTTCAGTGGCAATACCTCCCTTCCTCTGAAGAAAAAGATTAACTCCTGAGACATTAATATGTCCTTGGCTCTCTGCAATTCTGTCTACTGACAGCATTTAAGTTTTCAGAAACAGCCCATCCTGTAAGCAATCATTTTTGTTTATACAGCAAGAAGTACTACAGTAAACCTCTTTCTCTGGAACAATTTTAAGGCTCAGAGCTTACCCCAGAAAAGGTTTTGTAAAAAGCTTTGTATTCATCTTCTTCAACTTCTTTAGATGGTCTCTGCCAGATTGGTTTTATGTCATTCATGAGCTCCCAGTCCCAGACAGTCTTTTCAACCTAGGTATGTAAACACCAGTCTTTGACTCATTCTTTACTTCAGGTTAAGTCAGTTAAAGACACCCCAAGGCCAAGTCATAAAAACAGCATATCAAAAATAAATGCTTTCTAATTCACAAAGTAGATTATGCCATAGCCTGGATAGTCACATTCATGTACACACACCCGTGTAACACATGGGGACAAAGTTCTTATGTATGCTTAACACAGAGTATCAGCACTTCTGCCCTACTGCCACCTGAAAACAGCTTTCCAGCAGAGTATCCTCCCGTTTAAAATAGTCAGTGTAAGACCACTGAATGCCACTGCTATTCAAGCAGTTCACTCAAGTGTTTATGGTTAGTTCTGCCTCGCCTCACAAGGCTATTCTCAGTCATTTACCTAATTTCAATCAAGTCTGGTTTTTTTCACCATCTTATCTCCTGACATCATGTCCAACTGCACTTGAAAACAGGATTGCTGTTTGAAAGCACACACACTACTGAAGAGAACCCCTGGAAGACTATCTGTGAGAACTTAACCATCTGACATCACAACACCCCAAGTCTGACAAAGCTTACCTTCTTAGTTTTTGGTTTCTTTTCTTCCTCCTCTTCAACTGCAGCTTCATCATCATCTGCTTCTTCTTTTTCCTTTGCTTCCTCCTCTTCAATGGGTTCTTCAACAGTCTCAGTCTAAAAAGACATGAACATCAGGACTTGGCCTGCTTGGCTTCCTACGAAGAATGTTCTAGTATCCCCTCCAACAGCTTCATCTCTCAGAGGGTGGGTTTAACTTGCAATATTTGCCTATCACAAGAATTTCTCTGTAAGTAGCTACAGCTTAGTTGTGTTTTCATTAATACATCCTTTCCTTTGATGTGCTAAGGAGGTCCCTGTACTCAAATTTCACAGCTTTATACATAACACTAATCAGAGACTTATCTGATTTATAGTTAGTACTACACCAAGAAAATGTAAGTACAGGCCTGGAAGTTAAGACACTGCCATTTTAAAAAAAAGACATCCACCACGGCCCTGCTGGAGAGCTCACAAAAGCTTCTGGCTGCCAAGCCCAGTGGAAGAAAGACACTTCCTAATAATTACTACAGTTGCTCCTTTGATAAAGTTTCTTCAAAGTTTGTGATTTTAGCAACACATTAACTTTGAGAGTAAATAACTAGCAAAATATTAGCCAAGAGACTCATGAACAGAAGAATTTTAGAAATCAGACAAGCAGAAGTTCTATATTATGCTCTCATCCTTCCTGAAATATCTGGCCAGACAGTTCTAACAACCAAACCTCATACAGTGCAATGCTCAGCTAAATCTACTTACCTTGCTGCTCCATAAATATATGGGGAAGTTTATGAATTGTGAGTATTTCTTTACTAGATTTTTAACAGTATCCAGCTCAAGATAGTCTGATGCTTCCTCCTTCAAGACAAGGCTGAAGAAAAAAAAAAAAAACACATTCAAAGTGCTGGACAAGTATTTTGAAGTAATTTTACGTATTTTCCTACTGTTGCAGCTATAGCGATTCAAATTCAAGCATGTGAGCTTTTGTTAGTTCAGCTCTCTTTAAAAATATAATCCCCACTTACCTGCTTCAACAACAAGGAAAGGATAATTGTTTTCAACAACTGGGGCAGCACACAGTATCCAGAAGTCTAAATAAAAACCTCAAATCATATTGATACTTATGAGGACCTTGATACACTCCCACTGGCTTTACTTGGAACTACAGCACTGAGATGAACCTCTTCATACCAACTGCCTTCTTCAGCAGAAGTCCTCTAAACCCTCAACAAATAGGTTTCTCTGCTCATGAAAGTAATGAGAATAGGACTGTCAAACTACCTCTTACTTGACATTTGCATCAGACCAGTCTCACTGGTATACAAATAGCAGCCAGTTTCCAACAGGAAGCTCTATGGCCCCTGTAGAGGTTTTGAAAGGCTACAGTTGTCCTGAAGAACTGTGTGAGACTGCAGGCACCTGCACCATCTAGATCACTTGCTGAGAGCTTCTTGTCAAGATGCTCATTTTTTTCTTCATCTAATGGAATGTGAACTGTTATCAATCCATGTTTATTTTGGATGCAGTTAATAGTCTGTATGTTTTATAATAAAATAAAAAAAGCTGTATTACAAGAATCAAACATATGAGGCACAATGCTAAAGCCACCTGCATATTCCAATGAGCCAAATGCAATCACACAACTTTTTTCTGTTTAATCCAAATAAACTTAATACTTACGTTATGGTTGTGCCACGTCCTAAAGTGTTTCCTCTTGGGTCATCAATCACAGAGAATTCATTTGAATCTGACTCCCAAATATGTTGAGTATCATTGTTGTGTTTTGATGTGACAATAACTCTGTCTGCTACTAAGAAAGCAGAATAGAAGCCAACACCAAACTGGCCAATTAGCTCAGATGTTGACTGACCATCATCCTGCATCTCAGTCATTTTGTTCAAAAATTCACTTGTACCAGACTTTGCAATGGTACCCAGGTTTTTAACCAACTCCTCTTTTGTCATGCCAATACCGGTATCTGTGACATGAAGCATGTTCTTTTCTTTATCACACTGAAAGAGAAAGAAGCAGTTTCACTTCACTTTGAATCTTAATATATAACACAGCCATAGAAAAATGGGGGGTACCAGCCATCCAAATTCATGCCTTGCAACAATAAATCAAATCTGCTGTAACTACCGATATAAGGAAAACCTACCTTCAAGGATTTCAATACTTAACTACTCTTTATAGAATAAGAAATATATTTTCATCATTAAGAGCAATCTTTGATAAAGTTAATTGCAAGGGTCCTGAGTGTTCCTAGTTTTTATTTGCATCAGTATTAACCCCAAAATTTACATTTAACAACGCGCTATCTTTTTGCACTCCTGTCAGGGATCAAGTGTTGTACCTAAAACTTCTTACCTTGATTTTGACCGTAAGTTCCTCGTTACCAGCAAGAGCACTTTCATCAGTCAAGGATATTAACCGGATCTTATCTAGAGCATCCGAAGCATTTGAAATAAGCTCCCTCAGGAAAATCTGAAATATAGACCAGTAGTCAAACTCCAGAACACACACAAACAGTTCTAACACGGTCTGCTGGTAAAGGCACTAACCTCTTTATTTTTATATAAAGAATTGACAATAAGTTTCATCATTCTGTTCACTTCTGCTTGAAATGCAAACTTCTCAGATTTTTCTCTGATTTCTTTGATCTGGGATGCATTTAAGCCATCTAGTTGGATTGCTTCTTCCTCTCTGTTAGGAGAATGAAAACCTGTGAAATATTCTTGTCCACAAACAAGACAAAACTGATTTTGTCATCTAGTAACAACAATAATAGTCTGGTTAAAATAATACTAAGATCTTTAATCACTGACATAGTCCAAAAATTACATGATCAAATGAGAATGGCTACCCTTGCACACACTTCAACTGCATGTTTCATGATGTGAAAATTCATGCTTCCAAGTAACTTTTTTCTTGAAAAGAAATTCAGGGAAGAATGCAGGTATGTTAAACCCACTGTAATCCTCAGAGTGTGGTGTACCTCAGAGAAGATGATCTGGTTCATGAGCATTGAGATGGCTCACCCACAGGCACTAAACTGACACCATTTACCACATGCAAGAGTAAACCCTTATTAATTTGATTGGTTTTATATGGCTAGTATATTAGGCAGAACCAAGTTGAATATTTCTGAATCCAAATTCACATGCTCACTTCTATTTGGACAGAGACAGTTTTTACCAGAACTACTTTCTCTCAGCTGACTCGATCTCACTGGTGTTCCCCATCAATTTATGAGGCTTTAGCCGTTACTGCTGCTCGAACAGACCATTCAAAACTAAAATAAATCCTCACTATTTCAAAAGCAGCTTATCCAGAACCCCAGGCACTAACCTCTGAACAACTTCATCATCCGTTCGAGATCCTTCTCTGCTTTTACCCAAGTCATCTTCCACTGTCCCATCCACATCCACTTCATCAGCTCGAACCGATACTGGGAAAACAAGGAATCCGACGACCCGGGCTCGTCCCCCGCTACACACAACCCGAGTTCTCCGCTTACCCCTTCCCAGGGTTTTAGGCTGTTCTGTCCCTCCACTGCCCTGCCCCCAAGAGAAGTTCGGCCCAACTAGAGACATCAGACACGGGGGAAGA